ACAACATGGATGATATGGATCAGCAGGAGTGTGTCTAAACTGAAAGTTTGCACTAGGCACTCATGTGTCGCCTATTTTCAGTTTATAAAAACATAGAAGTCTCTGTGAAAGCATCTGGGTCACAAAATAATCCCTCCATCCCAAAATATAAGATCTTATTACATCCAATATGTGAGTATATAGGACGTAATAAGATCTTATATTATGGGACAGTGGGAGTAGAATATATTTCTCAAAAGGCCTCTCTGGAAAAAAGCAGATCATTAAAACCTTAGCAGGTTCCCAGCCCATGCAAAAGTTGTAGGACAGCCAAGATATTGGCTGGTAGAGAAGCATCAGATTGATCACAATAAACTCTGCTTCCCAGTGCTAAAATGTTGCAGATAATAGACACTAATTTTTAACTTGCAAGCAAAATTGTTAAAACAAAATAACACAATCAAATGAAGAAAGGTTTCTAGGAAAATCATGAAATATCCTGTAGTTATTGCCAACTAGTGCTTGCACATGATTTATTTTAAATCTGACCTTAAACATTTAACATGCAGGAAAGCGAAGTATCAGGTATATGCAGTGTGATGAGTTAGATGAGCTGCCTTGCAGCAGAAAGCAGAGACCATGTGCCTCATGTTGTGAATAGGCAATACAGCCGACTATTCAGTATTACTGAGTAAAAGGTAAACACTACAGCGACCAAGTCCTTTTTTGGTTATTATTCCGACAAAATACCAGCCTTTGTTGTTCTATGGGATAAGCCTATTAAATTTATGGAAAAGCTGAAGTGCAATCTAAATGCAATTGTTGTGACAATTAAACTGTTGTATGATGCAGGAGTGTGCAATTATAGTCCTAATCATGCACTTTGTATAACATAATTAACGTTTCAGAACTCTAATGCCATGCTAATGATGCAGGATGCATTGACCCTTGATTGTATTGGATGTTGTTGATTTGGTGGAGGTTGTTTTTTATCAGCCACAGAAGGGTATATATATAACCACAAATGGTATGCCTAAGATGCTCAACATTGCTATTGTCCAAGATTTTCAACATTCTGATTGCAGTACTTCTGGTTTTATGGAATCTTGGATAGGATAGTTTGAAAATTGTAGTAATGAACATCTCTGGCACCCTGGTTGCACTTGCTAACAAAGTAAACTCAATGATAAACTAAGCTACAAGTGTGAATCTTAAGATGTAGTAGGATGTTTTCGCAGTTTAAATCAAACTGCGAAAAGTCTTCATATTTGTGTATAGAGGTAGTATCTAGTAATATCCGCTCATAGAAGCATGGTACTCAAGTCACACATCATATATGGTACAAATGCATTAGTTGGTTTATTTGAGTTTTATCATTTAGAACAAATAAGACCTAGAAGCGTTCTATACTGAAATCTATTTTTTGTTATGAACTGAAATCAACATAATCCATGTACCACATGTAATTCAACATCTATTGAACTAGGATTATGAGTACTGATCTGCTATGATTTCGAGGCCTGAATTTAACTATGCGGGTTCCATTTGCAGGGCTGACCTAATGATTTGGGCTGGCAAATAGGGATGCTTCTTTCCAAAGTGATGAAAGAGGGATGCCGTACCAGATGAGTCTTCAGTTTCCAATATGTAGTAGCAATTGCTACAAGGTGAGCAGATCTTTCAAGTTTGATGCAGGTCTACCCTCTCCCCCTTTATTCGGTGACCCTACTGACTAGCCATGATTTCTGTCTGCTTCATTTACAGAGCTGGCTGAGATAATGATTTGGGTTGGCAACTATGAATGGTTTCCTCAAAAGAGGATGGAGAGGACTGCCAGGATATGCACATATCAGACAAGTCCTCAGTTTTTTTGTAAGTAAACAATTGCAGTATTTGTTAAGCTGCTATAGCAGCTAGATGAATAAGGAGCAGTTTATATCACCAGTAGCACCGATGTACTATTTTGTGAAGTTCTTTCTTGTTTTTTACCACCTCTGTACATAAATATAAGACTCCAAGTCTCTAAAACGTCTTATGTTTATGCACAGAGGGAGTACTTTCAGTGTTGAAGAATTGATTGTGTAATGAACTAGTGATAACATGGATATTTATGTTATGTAGCACTCCCAATTAGGTATGGTGGTATTAGTAATGCCTAAGAAGGTGGCACAATGGTATTATGCAATGCTTTGTAATATTTACGGGAAATGGATTTTCTAGAAGAGTAGGTGTGCTTTGATGCTGGTTGTCATGGCTGCATATTAGGGTCCTGTTTGTTTGGGCTTTTGCAGCTTTTCCACTTTGCCAAAAAAGTGAAAAAAAACTCCTAAATAGCTGCTTTTTGCTTTGGCTTTTGGCTTATACCATCATATAAACATATTGATTCATAAGCCAAAAGCTGAAGCAGAAAGCCCCTATCTAGGAGCTTTTGTAGCTTTTTTTGCCAAAGTCAAAACAGGGCCTAGTTCTTGGACAAATTACTAAGGAAACTACATCAGATTAAACAAGCAGGGTTTCTTTCGATTGTAGGAGCCTGAAAACGTAGGAATAAGCATCACGAAGGATTGAAATGCCATGTATCATGAATTCCTACAGGATTTCAAAATATAGCAATTTTTGGAGTTGCATTTAAATGGTGCATAGGAAATTAACACAGCAATTTAGAGGATTTAGTAGAGAGAGATTGAGTTTAAGTGCATTTTGGA